TAAATACAAGAGAGTGTGTATGTGTAATTTTTGTTATGAGTTACCTATAAATACAAGTGATGTATGAGGGCTAGGTTATATTTTGACCTATCTCTGTTTCTCTCTAATATTGTGTTAATATTCTACACTTAACATGGTATCAGAGCTTTACGATGATAAATATATATTTCGAATAAATTAATTTTGTGTTGATTGTTAGTAGTGGTCTGTGTTGATCATTGGTGATTACTGTGTTGATCGTTCGTGTGATCTGCGTGTGTGTTGATCGTTGGTGGTGGTTGTGGTCTATGTCTTGTTGTTGCCGTTGTGGTGTGTGGTGGTTGTGGTGGTGTTGTTCCTCCNTAAAGTGGCTCGATCTAAACAGGGCATTTTTTTATCACAGAGGAAATATGTACTTGACGTGCTAGAGGAAGCAAGTTTGTTGGGTGGCAGACCGATTGATGTTCCTATGGATCCGAATCAAAAACTATTAATGGATAATGATGCACTGTTTGAGAATTCGGGTCGGTATCGCAGATTGGTTGAAAAACTTAATTATCTCACTATTACTCGCCCAGATATTTCTTATGCAGTTAGTATAGTAAGTCAGTTCATGGAGTGTCCTAGAGTACCACATTGGGAGGTAGTTACTCATATTCTACGATATTTTAAACGAGCTCCTGGACTTAAAATGTTATATCGAGCTAATAGACATCTTAGAGTGGAAGATTTCTAAGATGTTGATTGGGTTGGCTCTCCTTCTGATCGGAGATCAACTACTAGTTATTGTACTTTCTTAGGAGGTAACGTTGTCTCATGGAAAAGTAAGAAACAATTTGTGGTAACAAGATCCAGTGCTGAGGCTAAGTATAGGACAATGGCGCATACAACGAGTGAGTTGACTTGGCTACTGCACTTTCTCCAGGAAATTGGGTTTCCAATTCAACCTCCTTTACAATTGTTTTGTGACAACCAGGTAGCTATCCATATCGTTGCCAATCCGGTATTTCACGAGAGAACCAAACATATTGAGGTTGCTTGCCACTTTATTCGGGACAAGATAGTAGCTGGGGAGATTATAACTCTATTTATGAAATCTAAAGATCAGCTTGAAAATATATTTACCAAAGTATTGAGTCGTACACGTCTTACAGAGATTTGTTCCAAGCTTGGGTTATATGATATATATAATCCAGCTTGAGGGAGAGTGTTAAGAGTATTAGGGTGTATTTGACAAGTATGTGGGGGATAGGATTGGTTTGGTTTTTTAATCCAAACCAATCCAATGAAAACCCAAGTCCGAAGGATATTGAGTCGTACACGTCTTTCAGAGATTTGTTCCAAACTTGGATTATATGATATATATAGTCCAGCTTGAGAGAGAGTGTTAAGAGTATTAGGGTGTGTTTGGCAAGTATGTGGGGGGTAGGATTGGTTTGGTTTTTTAATCCAAACCAATCCAATGAAAACGCAAGTCCAGAGGATATAGACAAGATACTAATAAAGTTGTGTAATCCAGTTCTTGCTTTGGGAAGTACTTTTGTATTTTATGGGGCCCACAGAAAAAATTATTGTTTTTTGTGTAAAATCTCTTACCTTTTACATTAAATTACAATTTTACCCTTGACTACTATCAAATCCAAAGTCTATGCTGGGTTAGGCAACATTATTTATTTTGTCCACCTTTAAACTTCACTCCAATTTTCATCTATGTTACAAGTGCACAAACCGAAAATAATTTGGTTTTAATGTTTGTAATACCAAAAAATTTTGATCTAATTAATTTGCTCATAAGATTCTAGAAACGTCATTCTGTTTTATGAGCTTGAAGCCATAAAATTAGTTTTTTTTTTCTTTCATATTACTACAAAATATGTTTGCTTTCCTGGTATTTTTCTGAATGAAAAAAAATANAAATAATTTGGTTTTAATGTTTGTAATACCAAAAAATTTTGATCTAATTAATTTGCTCATAAGATTCTAGAAACGTCATTCTGTTTTATGAGCTTGAAGCCATAAAATTAGTTTTTTTTTCTTTCATATTACTACAAAATATGCTTGCTTTCCTGGTATTTTTCTGAATGAAAAAAAATAAATTATCTCAGATAATATTACAGATTGAAGGTTGGCTGGAAGTAAAACCAAAAGCATTACATGGTAATTGCAAAATGCACAATAATCAGAAATAAAATAGAACAAACCATTCACCCAAAGCAAAAAAATTTGGGAGAGGTCACAAAGCAAAATTTTTTGCAACTAAGAAAACCCAATAAATCACCCCCCAGAGAGAGAGGGGTGTCATTTTTTGATTGTATGGGTAAAAGAATTTGCACGTCAATGGCTTGGATATTCTTGAACTATGATTAACATCATCTTGCTTGCATGCGGGCTATGATCAAAAAAAAAAAAAATTTTAANCACGTCAATGGCTTGGATATTCTTGAACTATGATTAACATCATCTTGCTTGCATGCGGGCTATGATCAAAAAAAAAAATTTTTTAAATTTTTTTTAATATGATCATAATTAATCCCTGTTTTTGTTGAGAAAAAAAAATCAGAATTAATTTTTTTTTTAAATGATCAGAATTTTTTTTAAAAAAAAATAATAATAATCTTAGGCTAGTGTTTTAGTTTCTGAGTCTGTACGANCTTGCATGCGGGCTATGATCAAAAAAAAAAATTTTTTAAATTTTTTTTAATATGATCATAATTAATCCCTGTTTTTGTTGAGAAAAAAAAATCAGAATTAATTTTTTTTTTAAATGATCAGAATTTTTTTAAAAAAAAAATAATAATAATCTTAGGCTAGTGTTTTAGTTTCTGAGTCTGTACGAAGAAGCATAGAAAGTGTATGTGGAATGACCTTTGCTCTACAAATCAAACTGTCCATAACCTTCTCTTTGGTGATGTTTGTTTGCAGGTTGTAGATCTTGTATATATATACATATAGACCAAGATACATAGACATATACACACACACACACATATATATATACACACACATAGATAGCGAGAGAGAGAGAGAGAGAGAGAGAGAGATACATATATATATATACACAGATGTATAGAGAGAGAAACGACATAAGGATTTGAGATAGATATATAGATATATATATATATAGAGAGAGAGAGAGAGAGATTTACCTTGCACTGGGTGCCGCTTGCGGGAAGAAGGACCAATGAGAAGAAGTAAAGTGAAGAAGACAAAAATGGGTGAGGGGTAAAAACCCTACAGTTGGTACTGTTCGAGGGTAGTTTAGTAATTACAAGCCTAATCCGGTCATTGGGCTAACTAATCCCAAAGTTATGGTGGAATATAATAAAGTGGGTCAGAAGGGATAAATGGGGGAAATTACTACGGGCCGAGGAAATGAGCCCAACGAATATCCCATACAAAAAAATGGATCCAAACCAAGGATTTGTGGGCCACTGGACAAGAAAACCCAATCCAATTGGATTTATCCCACTTTATCCCTTTTGCCAAACACACCCTTAGGGTACTATATGAAATTTACTAATACTGTTAGGGTATTATGTGTAAATACAAGAGGGTGTGTATGTGTAATTCTTGTTATGAGTTACTTATAAATACAAGTGATGTATGAGGGCTAGGTTATGTTTTGACCTATCTCTGTTTCTCTCTAATATTGTGTTAATATTCTACACTTAACAGTCCTAAACCAACCGAGACAAAATCTCTGCAGTATAATTTATTCTAGAAGAAAACATTATCCCTACAAAGCCAGGTTTCGATAGTTAACATTTATAATTGCTGTTTCAGTTTAATACAACTTGTTGCCATATTTTGTCAAGTTTGTTCTATTGCATTACAATGTCCTATAGGAACTTTGAAGGGCCTCCAGCCTCGATGGTAAAACGTTCAAGTTAACAAATGCAAAAATGTGGGTTCAAACATATGCACAACTTTGTGCAAATATTAACAAATGTAAGGTCAATGATATCTGGTACATACCTTGGTCTTGCCTAGCGCCCTCAATTATTGAGGACTAAACTAGTGAAGACCTGTTACAATATCATATTGGAAGGAAACTTTACCAGCAATAAAATCAAAAAGGATTCTTTTGATCTGACCAAATAAGTGTCAAGTAAAATGAGGTAGACAAGCATGAAGGGAATAAGAGCTAGCATGCATTGCGATGCAGAACCTGAGATAGCTGTAGTAGGGTAGCATGGAAAGAAATTTCAGCAAATTATGGGAAGAACAAGGGGCTGACAAAATTTAAATCATCTATGGTTATTAAAATGCTAATCAGTTATAATAACAGGTTTCATTAAAGTAGGAAAATTGGATAAACTCATTAAGTTGATAGTTATTACCTTAAGTTGGATACAAACATTACAGTCCATATCCAGACATCAAAAAATCACAATCATTGGATTTCGAGAAAATTTCCCATTTTAGGGCCCACGAATTTGGATTGGGGGAAATAGCTTCTACATCAATCTTTCTAGAGGCCTAGGAAATTTAATCAACAAGAATGAAAAGAGAGATGCACTGTCCTATCCTTATATCTAGCAACTTAAAAAGTGACAAAACAACCACTCACAGCCTCCAACTACGAATCCAATAGTAGATCATTCATGATCACCGACTGATTATCAAAAGACAGCCTAAACAAATAGTCACTAGAGATAAAGTTATAATATACAACACAAATGATAGTACACAATAAATGGATTTTGAATAAACGCACAAGACCAAAGCGACCATCTTCCAACATAAGTGAAACACATCACTGAAAATGCTAACTAACATTCAAGTGTCATCAGCTGAAACAATAGGCGTGCGTGATATACAATCCAGCTCATACAACAATATCCATCAACACAAGAAAGTAACAATTATACAGAATTTGAATCTTGGGAAAGCTTACAAATTAATCTCGCAGTGTATAAATACACAAACATATTCACGCTTATAGCTCTTAACTAACAGAAAATCACATACAATCTCACCAAGAAAACCGTAATAAAGTTAAAAGAGTACATACCATGCCTTCATTTCGAAACCAAAAGGATCTCCGGCTTCTTTGCTTTACTAGGCGTATTAGCATTGGAAGCAGCATTGGCTGCTGCTGCTGCGGCTTTTGCTGCCTCACGTGCTCTATTATCAAGCTGAATCAAACTCCTTGTTGCCAAAATTGCCTGGGGAACCAAATCATGCGAAGCCCTTGCATACAAACACCGCACTGCCACTGAAGCAGCGTCCTTCACATCCTCCGAATTCAGAGGACCCAACAAACAGTGCCCCATAATTCTCAACACCGGTTGGAATAGCTCCCATGGCAACGGAATTCTTGGCCCTTTTGGGATCGAATTCTCCGAATTTTCACCAATTCTCAAAGTCCTCATCTCTTCCACAGCATCATTGATTTCCTGAACCCTAGAATTCTCAGAAAATCCGTTTTCGATCTCAAGGACGATTTTTTGGTCAAATTCGAACTTGCAAGGGCAGTCCTGACCGGCCCAATCAGCCACGAATGTACAGAAATCGAGCTTGGACCAGCTCGGCATCTGGGAGATCTGCTTGTAATAACAATCTAATGCGACGCCAACAATGCAGGCACGTTTCGTTGATTTCACAGCGTTTTGGGGCTCTAAGGGAGGACAAAGAACTCCGATAGACGGTAACCGATTAGATTGACTGGCTGAAGAAGAATTAGGGTTAGGGTTTGACTTACTAGTAACGATATTGTTTCGAGGCGTGTGGTAAAGAGAGGGCTGAGAGAGATCGGGAATGTTAACCAGGATAGGTTTGCCGGCGCGTGATTTGGTTTCGGAGGAGTAGAGAGCGAGAAGAACGGCTTCGAAGCCAGCGAGGGAGGGCGTGGCGATGGTGGCGGAGGGGGAGGGGATGGAATTGGAGTGAATCCGGGAGAGGTAGAGAGAGGAGAGGAGGGGGATGAAGGAGAGGACGACGAGGCGGAGATCAGAATCGGAGGAGAGGAAAGTGTCGTAGAGCCAGTGGCAGAGGGGATCATCGCCGGAGCCGGAGGAAGGGGAGGATAGAAGAGAGGAGACCGCAGAGTAGGCAGCGGAGGAGGAGAGGAGAGAGCGGGCAGGGCGGTCGGATTCGGCGACGGAGGAAAGAGAATTGGAAGTGGAGTCGGGGAGGATGGAAGAGAGGAGGTGGATGCGAGAGCGGGCTTTGGAGATGGACTCCCACCAGGAGTGCATTGGGTCGGTGTTGGCGTTGTGGCCATTATTGTGGTGGTGGGAAGAGGAGTTAGGGTTCCGGTCCGACGAGGAGGTGGAAGAGGAAGGAGAGCCGCCGGGTAGGTGGTGGTTGAGGTGGAAGTCCATTTTGATCGTGGGTGGGTGTGCTGGTCAGTCTCTCTTCTCTTCCGGTGTGGTACTTAGATGGGGGAGAAAAAGAGTCGAACGGAAGAGTGGATGGAATTGGTAAATGTTAGGGAGAATTATACATATATCCCTTGGGATTTATTAAAATTTCAGAAAAGGCACTCATAGTTTTTATCCCAAGTGCTCTATATTCTAGACCCATTTCTTACTTCTTTTTTTCTCTCTCTAATTCTTCTTAGACCATCTCAAATAAAAACTCAAACTCTTATCCAAATTTGCGTAAAAAGAGTAAAAATCTTGATTTGATATAGACATTTCCAATAGAAAAATAAGAAAGACAAACACAAATTTAAATGAAGACAAATTTAAATTTAAAAGAGGATAAAATATAATTATTGAATTTTTAAAAAATGATAAAATCTCACAATTAAAACTTTGGGTATGAATTTTAAGTCTCCCTTAATTTGAGAAAAAAAAATTAGTCTCTCTTAATTTGACATGTGCATGAGTCTAATATTGAAAAAAAATTAAGAGTTTTTTTACCCAAATTTAAATTTGTGTTTAAAAAAAGGTGAGGATTAAATATATTTAGTAATGCACGACATGCGTTATACGTAAATAAATTTAAATAATATTATTTTTATAAAAATATAAATTATGTGTAATTAAATTAAATAATAAATTAGGTATCAAATAATTAATCTATATTTAATTATTAATTTATTTATATAAGTTTTTGAATACCTAATTTATCATTTATTTAACTTTCCCTTCAACTCTTTTAGATATTTGTACATCTAATCTATATAATAAAGTAGTTAGATTGTTTGTCTTGACTTTTTCGCGGCTCAAATCGTTTTAATCCGATGGTTCTAATTAAATTTACATTCATTTTATAATTCTAAGACTCTCATCTCTCATATAACTCTTTCTTTCTCTCTCTCATACCATTATTTTTTTTTTTTTGGTTTCCCATATGTTGTTTTTGTTATTATTTATTTCATAAAATAGATGAAACCATATGTTATGCNTTTTTTTTTTTTTGGTTTCCCATATGTTGTTTTTGTTATTATTTATTTCATAAAATAGATGAAACCTATACAATACGTTAATAAATAAGATACTTTAATTAACAGTGAATGAAGTATTAAAGTAAATAACATTTAATATAAATAAATAATAGCACATTATCTATAAAACACCAAATAAATCTTAGATTGTAAAGTACTATATAATTTTATCAAAAATTGACATTTAATTATGTCTAATTTATATTTAAATTTGTCAAATTGATATCAAATTATTTTTTATTGTTATCAAATTAATATTGAAATTCATTTTATCAATTTTTTGGGTACTACATTAAATTTTATTTTATTTTATTAATTTTTTAATTTTTTTAGTATTGAATTTGAAAAAGGGCAATTGTAAAAATAATAAAAAATTTTGAGATGATATTATCAATTTTCATTAGCAACATTGATGTAAGGGAGACATAGGGGGTCTCCATGTTATTTATAAAATGTCAGAAGGTGTCCATGTAATATTATCAAAACTCAGGAAAATGTCAGTAATTTTTATCCTGTTTTTTAATTAAACATTAATTTATTATTATTTTATCTTAAAAACTTGNCTATATTCTAGACCCATTTCTTACTTCTTTTTTTCTCTCTCTAATTCTTCTTAGATCATCTCAAATAAAAACTCAAACTCTTATCCAAATTTGTGTAAAAAGAGTAAAAATCTTGATTTGATATAGACATTTCCAATAGAAAAATAAGAAAGACAAACACAAATTTAAATGAAGACAAATTTAAATTTAAAAGAGGATAAAATATAATTATTGAATTTTTAAAAAATGATAAAATCTCACAATTAAAACTTTGGGTATGAATTTTAAGTCTCCCTTAATTTGACATGTGCATGAGTCTAATATTGAAAAAAAATTAAGAGATTTTTTACCCAAATTTAAATTTGTGTTTAAAAAAAGGTGAGGATTAAATATATCTAGTAATGCACGACATGTAAATAAATTTAAATAATATTATTTTTATAAAAATATAATTTATGAGTAATTAAATTAAATAATAAATTAGGTATCAACTAATTAATCTATATTTAATTATTAATTTATTTATATAAGTTTTTGAATACCTAATTTATCATTTATTTAACTTTCCCTTCAACTCTTTTAGACATTTGTACATCTAATCTATATAATAAAGTAGTTAGATTGTTTGTCTTGAGCTTTTCGCGGCTCAAATCGTTTTAATCCGTTGGTTCTAATTAAATTTACATTCATTTTATAATTCTAAGACTCTCATCTCTCATATAACTCTTTCTTTCTCTCTCTCATACCATTATTTTTTTTTTTGGTTTCCCATATGTTGTTTTTGTTATTATTTATTTCATAAAATAGATGAAACTATATGTTATGCAATTATTTATTCTATGAAATTAATTGTCACTTACTTCATAATTTGTAAATAACATTTAATATAAATAAATAATAGCACATTATCTATAAAACACCAAATAAATCTTAGATTGTAAAGTACTATATAATTTTATCAAAAATTGACATTTAATTATGTCTAATTTATATTTAAATTTGTCAAATTGATATCAAATTATTTTTTATTGTTATCAAATTAATATTGAAATTCATTTTATCAATTTTTTGGGTACTACATTAAATTTTATTTTATTTTATTAATTTTTTAATTTTTTTAGTATTGAATTTGGAAAAGGGCAATTGTAAAAATAATAAAAAATTTTGAGATGATATTATCAATTTTCATTAGCAACATTGATGTAAGGGAGACATAGGGGGTCTCCATGTTATTTATAAAATGTCAGAAGGTGTCCATGTAATATTATCAAAACTCAGGAAAATGTCAGTAATTTTTATCCTGTTTTTTAATTAAACATTAATTTATTATTATTTTATCTTAAAAACTTAAATTATTATATTTCTAACAAAAACAACTATTGGTTAGGAGAGTTTGTTAGTAACCAAAAAAAAAAATATGTGTGGGTATATTTATGTATAAATTTATATGTGAAGGATTGAAGATTTGATAATTAAATTTATAATTGTATTGGGTCATTTTGGATTGAATGGTGATAGTGGTGATAAATTCATTAGTTTTATAAATGAGTAAAATTTGATTGATTTTATTTATCATTTAAAGATTATGAATTTAATTATGTTCTATTATTATTATTATTTTTTGCTTGAGATATTTATTACATGGAAATATGATGGATTAGAAATATGGTGGCTGAGTTTATAATTATATTGTGTTATTGGATTGAGTGGTAGTAATGTGATAAATTCGTGAGTCTTATAAATGATCAATATTTTATTTATTATTTAAAAATTATAAATTTCAATGAGTTATGTTAGTATTTGTTTTTTTTTCCAGAGACATTTGTATATATAGTGTTATTTTGGAGAATTTTTATATATTTTTATGACACTTTTATTAATATAGAAGATATGATCGACGATATAATTCGACCCATTTTACAAGAAGAATTAATATGAATAGTTTTAGGTCATTCCTTTTGAATTTGAACAATTGTTTAACATTTTTTTTTATTATATAGTGTATTTAGGCACAAGTAATGACTAATTATATTATATAATTATTATTTTTTAAATAGATTGATTAGATTTTTTATAATATTATTATATTATTACATACCAAAAAATAAATATAACATATAATGGACTGTGAAATTCAACCCAGTGACTACATGTGTATAATAATTTAACATATATATAATTTTATATCTTCATATAGATATAGATAATTGAATGTAATTGTACTACAAATAAAAATAAGTTCAAAATAATTTATAAGTATTTATAAAAAAGTTCAAAATAAGTTGAAAGTCAAATAGATGTAAAACACACAAATTAAATGAAACTATATAGGTGAGTATAATAATTTTTGTCATAATAATTATGGATAAAATAGAAAATGTTTGTTCTACTAATAAATGAGTTCAAATGAATTTAAAAGTCCTTACAAAAGAGTTCAAAATAAATTGAAAGTCAAATAGGTATAAAAAAACATAAATTAGATGAAACTATATAGGTGGATATAATAGACTTTATTATAATAATTAAGGATAAAATAAGAAATAAAATTTTTTTCGTAAATATTGACATTTATAAATAGTAATATAGTATATAATATAGATGTAATGTTATAAATAGTAATTTATTATTTGACTTAAAAGTTGTCCATGTTATTTTTTTAAAATACAATATCATTAATAAATATTTAAAGTAATGTTATGATAATAATTAAATGGAATTTTAATTGGGTAAAATTTAACACAATACCGAAATAACAATATTCAAATTAGATTGCTGTCCTTTTTCTCAACCTACTCTCTCCCACTGACCCCAACCTCGTTACTGCCGCCCCCTCTGTCACCCTTTCTCTTTGTAGTTCCCAACTGTCACAACCTTGTTACTCTCGCCCTCTGACACGGTCACACCCTTCTTATGTCCAACTGGCGCTGTTAGGTCCAACTCTTGAAGACCATCTCTCTTCTCTTCCGTTTCTCTCAGCTCCATCTCTCTCATCTGTTTCTGTATCTGTATCTGTATCTCTCTACAATGGCTTCCGCAGCTCTCTCCCAATCCCTATTCTCCACTCTCAATTCTCACCGAACCCCCGAGAATGTCTCTCTGTCTTTGCACCGGTCAAAAACTCCGGCATTCATTCGACAGCCACTCGGTCCCTCTAGATCTCGTCTGTTATCTGCACAATCGAAGAAGACCCAGAACAATTTCATCGCCAACTGCACTCCCACTGGGAATGAAAGCACAACCCAAGAGACCCCCATCGAATTGAGTATGCATTTTGCTCCCTTTACCATCTCTCTTTCTCCCACTCTCTCCCTCTCTGTGATTTTTAATTTGTTGTTACAGGGTACCCAGCATTTCCGGCAGTGATGGATATCAATCAGATTCGAGAAATTTTGCCCCACCGGTTTGTGAATTTGATTCAACATCTTCGTTCTTTCTGGGTATTGTTAATTGTTAATGATGATGTGATTTGAATTTGTGGTTTGTAGCTTCCCATTTCTGTTAGTGGATAGAGTGATTGAATACACTCCAGGCGTTTCAGCAGTCGCCATTAAGAATGTGACCATAAACGATAATTTCTTCCCTGGGCATTTTCCAGAGAGGCCAATTATGCCTGGTGTTCTTATGGTTGAGGTAGGCTGATCATTTATTCTTTCCTGCGTAGGATATTTTTTGGGTCTTCTTGCATGTGAATTGGATGAATTAAGTACCAATGACACTATTTCAACTGGTTGTACTTTAAGGATGTGTTAGTGGGTGGTGAAGAAGTCTTTCTTTAGCATCCATCACCAAATTCACTCCTTTTGTGAAACTTAAAAAAGGTCCATCCCCCAAAACATGTATAAAGAAAAAAAAATTGATTTTTATGTATAGCAAGTATCAAAATTTTGTTTGGTGAATAGGTTCAATCAACTTGGAAATAGAAATGTGTTGAAAATCTCTAGAAAACAAAATATAAATGGAGAAATAATGTGGAATTCTGATTTTGACACATTGGCTGAAACCTACCGAGATGTTACTATAACCTCGCAAAGCAATCTAAAACATTCCGAAAAATTGAGAATTTTATTTTTCAGCCACTGTTTCATTTCAGTTTTTAGCGAAACATAAAATGTTGTGATTGAAACTAAACGCAACTTTGATTGCTATAATCAGTGGTAAAAAATAGTGGTGTAAAATATTATTTTCTTGCAATATAATTTACTTCATGGGGATAGCAAACTTCTAGAAACATGATTTAGTCAACTTCCATATACTTCCATCCCTAATTCTTAAATGATTGTCCGCTGGAAGGTCATGGATGTTTTATATAATGTCCCTTGTTGACTATATCAGTTACAAAGTTATCCACCCAATGGGCAGAGTGGATACCTTTAATTAGGTTTCCCAGCACGTATGCCAAGTGAAAGTGGATAATATTAGGGACCGAGGGTGTATAAGCTTTTTGAATGAAAAATTAAGGTGAACACCGTAAGAAAGAGGCTTAAGTAATTGCTTTTAGATATGCANGTATAAGCTTTTTGAATGAAAAATTAAGGTGAACACCGTAAGAAAGAGGCTTAAGTAATTGCTTTTAGATATGCATTTCCTTATACAACTGATGTTTACGGTGGTGTTGCTTGTTGGTCGAGTGCCGTCACATGGCAAATAGTTTGCGGGTGAGTGTCTTTGTAGCTTATATTATGGATTAGGTTAGACTGCTTAAGCTGTGACTTATCTTCATTTAAGACCAATTTGACAGGTTTGTGAAACCTTGAAAACCCAGTTATCAGACAATACTTTGGACTGAGCTATATAGGATATTTTAATGCTTATGTTGAGACTAGTGATTTATCCAGTGATTTATGTTTCACTTGCAATTTCAGCAAATCATTCTCATATATATATCCAAGTTGCCAATGTGTACTTTAGATGATCACTTTCAATCTTTCTTTTTTAGTTATTTCTACTGCTGGTATTCTGACAAGATGACGGGAATGTGGATGGTTGTTGGATCCAGGCAATGGCACAAGTTGGTGGATTGGTTATGCTGCAACCGGAAGTGGGAGGCTCTCGTGACAATTTCTTCTTTGCTGGAATTGACAAAGTGAGGTTCCGTAAACCAGTGATTGCTGGAGACACCTTAGTGATGAGAATGACACTTACCAAGCTGCAGAAACGCTTTGGTATAGCAAAGATGGAAGGAAAAGCATATGTTGGAGGTGAAGTGGTATGCGAGGGCGAGTTTTTGATGGCTATGGGCAGTGAATGATGATTTGCAATTGACGACATGGTTGCAATTTTGCGGTAACTGTGTTTTCTTTTTTCCATCTTATAGAAATAAACCATGTGCCTTTTTTTCAGTTTGATGCTGTCAGAATCAATGAGTTTCAATTCATTTTAGACAGATTCTACATGTTTATTAGCAGCCAAATGATGTTTGGTTTCTTTTGTTTATGTTGGTGNGTCAGAATCAATGAGTTTCAATTCATTTTAGACAGATTCTACATGTTTATTAGCAACCAAATGATGTTTGGTTTCTTTTGTTTATGTTGGTGGTAATGCTATACATTTCCAATGGATGTATTAGTTGTAGTGGTTAGTAACTATTGGGTTTAGGCTGGGTTAGATAATGAGCACTGTTCTTTTTAATCTATTATATTGGCCTTCAAGTTCTCTAGCCAAGATGTTGTTTGACTTGATATTAGATACTCTTCCTTGTGACCGCCGATAGGGTGGTCTAGTGGTTGTACTGGCGTTATTCCTCACCTAGAGGTTGGGAGTTCGAGTCATGGAGTTTTCATTTGGACTCAGTGGATAGTTGTTATGCTAGCTTAGTTATGTCTGGTCTTGAGAGATGTTTCAAATGCGATCAAGGATCTTATGATCTCACCGGTGAAGGCTTAATAGGGTGGTCGCTAGACGTTTTTCCTTATCCCGACCCCTTTTTTCAATAGCAAAAAAAAAAAGATACTCTTGTGCCAAATACACTGATGTTTCTTGCATTGATATGTTACCTAACATCCAAGTATGCAGAGCTAGCCTTACTATCTCAAAAAATTTAAGACAGATTTTGTTGAAATGTCTCAAGGGTGCAAGCCTTTTCTGATTGCTTGCGGTTTTTCTACATGAAAAACCACATTTTTCTTTTATCAATTGGCTAGTGGAATTTATTATCTTACAAAGAGATCAAAGTAGAAAGAATTTGAATTTTTCACAGGGGAACTCAAATCATGAAAGGATTAATCTTTTAAGTCTCGTTGGTTTTTCTCACTAAATCCATTTGCTTTTTACATCATTTTCAAGTTCTCTCTCTCTTACAAACCAAGAGCTCCAAGGGGTGTCTTTCCTTGCCCAGCCTCAAAGTAGAAAATTAGCATTGCCAACATTGCAAGTCTTGCATGCTTGATCTCTGCCAGCTTCAGTCTCTCAAGCTTCTCGGTGTCGGGAATGTAAACGCCATCCTTGATTGTTCCGGCAAGGGACAGTGGGTCGAAGAATTTGCCGCCGGGGTAGCCTTGCTCGCCGGTTGCATTAGCAAAGTTTTCAGCAGTTCTTGACCATGGAGTAGCCCATTCCACAGACTGTGACTCAGGGTTGAAGAAATCAACCCACCTTTTGCTCTCAACCCATCCCATGAGGAGGAGTTGGGTGCCGAGGAGAGACCCGAAGGAGAAGGGTGCAATGGCACTGGGGTCGGCACCAGCCTCAAACCACGGGATGCCGCTCCACGCCTGACCGACGAAGATACCAACGACCGCGGCCATCGCCCACCGGCCATGGATGAGCTCAGCCTCTCTGTACCACCTAAGGAATGCTGGATCTTTGCCTAAGCCTAGTGGGTCAAAACCAAAGTCACCTGGAAGCCTGTAGTTCATCAAATCAAATATGGGAACCTTAGTTAACCATGATTGTGAATTAAAAGCTTTGAATTCCCACACACACATAAATATACACACAAACATGCCTATAAAGATGGAATATGTTCATACCGGCCTTGCAAATCTATACTCAATCCGTTAATCTGACGCGTAATCGTCATAAAATTAGCGTGTTTGGGTTTAATCTTGGCTATGTGAATTAGTGGAGTACACTTGATCTCATTAACACGTGGACACAAATCTGATTAAATACAACACAAATATGTTCAAACACGACCAAAATATAATACATACTTGACATAATATATACTCGATTATATGCCACTATGAATAGCATGATTTTAACAAATTTGATAAGATATAACCAAGTATAATTTTATATTAATAACATTACAATTAGGGTTATTAATTAAACCGAATGAGTGGGGGCCGCAAAAGCACACGCAGGATAAGTAAGTATTTCAGGAGACGGTCTAAAAATGGGCCTAGTTCAGAAAGAGAACTCTTAACAAAACTAAGGTGGAACTAATCAAGATCAATAGAAAGAAGAGTTACCTAGGATTCTATTGACAAGGTTCATGGTACGATGATCTAACAAATTGAATTATTTGAACTCGACTCGAGTTCCGCTTGTTTATTCGTTCACTCTTGACTCGTTTTTTAAATGAAACGAATCTTAAATAATTTTTAAACTCAATTAAGAAAGCAAGGTTTTTAAGTTTGGCTCCAACTCGTTCGACCCTCGCCTAACATTGGCAATTGAGAGAGAGAGAGAGAGAGAGAGAGAGAGAGAAGGGGGGGGGAGAGGAAGAGACTTACGAGCCATCAAGCCACTCAGGGTCGACGAGGTTGCCACCAGCTTTAACACCAGGAAGCCAAGACTTTTTGGGAGCAGCAGCCGCCACCATGAACCTCCTGGGAGAGCCAGAACCACCAACTCTAGCTGAAATGGGTGCAGACAACAAGGTTTGGCTATTCTTTCCTCCAGTCAAGAAGGCTGATCCCAACCCACTTAGCACTGCAGCAGATGTAGCAGCCATCTCTCTCTCTCTCAACTCTCTCTCTCTCTACAAGACAGAAGAGATGGTGGGTGGCAAAATGTTGGGTCTTGTGAGCTAATTCTATGGATACAAACTTGGCTTTGTTATATGGGCTATACTGCATGAACTTTGGGATCAAAAGGAGAACTTTCAATGGAGAGCCAGGTGGGATAAGTGAAATCTGCAGATGAAATCTAACATCTCTCCTGGATAGATTTCGGACCAATGAGATCATCAGCTCCATCCGAATTCGCCACCATCCACGTGGACCATCTCTTCACCTCTAGTTTTGGGGACAATATTCCAAAAACAAATAAAAATTCATCAACTAGTTTTTGGGACGACGACATATGAAAATCTTAATTCTGGCGTAGTTGACTTATTTTTGATTAAATTGAAAAAAAAATTAATTAAAATACACATAAATTGATCCGAATACTTTTAAATATTAAAAATAATATTATATAACTCAAATTTATATCCCAAATAAAAGGATATTATTAGATTAGTGGATCCCATTTAATGGCAACTCAAATTTTCATTCTATTTAAAAAAGTTGATAGGACCACTCACTCAATAGTCCCTTTCATTTGTGATACAAATTTGGATTATATAGTATTTTCCAAATGTTGAACCCCCAAAAAGAAAATATTCAATATCACATGGTGTAATCAATCTATTCTATATAAATATTAGAGGCAACTTTGTTTCTAAAAGTACGGTGCAACGTAAGTAAAATGCGATAGATTTTGAGCAGAGAATTTAAATGTGAATGATTTTAAGAGGGATGTTGTTGGTCGTTGGATGAATCTATTTGAGACCATCAGATGAACTTATTAAAATATGTCTTATTTTACATTATCTATATTATTTATAAAAATAACTTTAGATGAAAATTTTTTGAATCTTTATTTCACCCTTATAAATAATTACAAAAATCATTCTATTATTTCACAATTAAATATCTGAATGTCCATCATATCCTTATTTATTTAAATCTCCTACAACATCTTTTTTAGTTATCTATTCTCTATATATAAATATTAGTTTCTATAAAAAGAAATTTGATTGACTATATTACCCTTAAAAAATAAATTATTATATTTTTAATAAAATGTTCAAAAAACCTTCAAAAAATTCATCAATCAAATATTACTTATCTCGTATGCAAATAAAAAAATATTATGTCTATATATCTGTATTTTTTTTCATCGAAAAGGCTCACCTGTTCATTTATAAGATAAAAAAATAATCGTATATATAGTTTTTTAAAATTAATTTATGTTACATCACTATAATTCTTTAGTCACGATAAATTTTCTAAGTTATATACTAAGATTTTATATAAAAATAGATATTGTAGTATATTTTTAAGTAAAACTTGAATTTTTTAGAATTTTAATATGCTTGATAATATATATTATAGAATAAGATATTAAATATTATCCCAATTGATTTTTGTTTCAATGATACTTCTTATCTTGTAAAAGATTTGCCTTTTTAAGGTTAAAGGATTCAAGTCCCCCCCTTCCCTTCCCTTTCCCCCTTAAAAAAAAAAATTGACCTAAGTAATTCCTAAGTGCAATAAGATTCAAATGTGATTAGTATATTAACAATTACTTTTATTTTATTCAAAGAATTATAAGTGAAATCATAATCAAATGAAATTCATAAAATTTAATTTTTCAAACATCACTAAAAAATAATCTCAATCACAAATTTCTAAAAAAATAGAACATTAATTGTTTTTTTATTTTTTATAGTTAGAACAAAGAATTTTTGGGACATACAAAATTTTCATAATCGTATAATAGAACAAACAATGAAAAATTAAGTTTGGTAAATTTGAGATGATATTTAATTTAGATACACATATACTTAATATGTTTTGTTCATTTTTTTGTACGAAAATTATTTACGTGCAACGCACCTAGTAAATTATAAATTTGTAGGACCAGTAGATTCCAACAAATTTTATAACTACCAATAATTTTTATTTTCAGTAATTATTAGTGAGATTTACTTGTTCACTTATTTATTTTATTATTGTTCGGTGTCACCAACTTGATGATAAGAACGTGATATAACTTTTGGACTCGTTTGATTGCCATATTAGAAATTGATAGATTAGATAAAATAATTCGGTCTAATACAATAATACATAAGGACAAAAGACAAGATTAAATATTGTATTAGAATAATACGTAATTTTATCTAGTATTTGATAATATACAACATAAACGTTAGACAGTAATTATTTAATTCAATCTGTTATTTGGTTAATGAATTATTTTATCGTATTAATTTTGAATTAACAAAAATACCCTCAATCAGTGTTTGTTATATTGATGACAGTTTGATTTTATCAATTAGAGAGTAACAACGGTAAATGTGCAAAATAATACGTTTGAGTTGAATTATAATACCACCTCTTTTGGTGGTATTAAAATACCTCCATAATAGATGTCTAACGTATAAAAAATATACGATAAATATACGATTACTCTACATTTTTAAAATTAATACGATATCAAATTTATTTACCAAACAAAGTATTAAGCCCGATTAAATAAAAAATAATACAATTCAATATTAAATCCCTTCATAATACGTCTACCAAACGAACCCTTTACGTTTAATATTTATTCCTAATTATGGTTTTCACTCTATGGGCCAAACTTATCTGTTTGCTTATTAGAATAATAAAAAATACAAGAATGAAAAAAAATTAAAATTTTTATATGTCTGGTTAGCTTGAAATGAAAAATGATAAAAAAAAATAATTTTCTTTCATGGTTAGATTTTCTCACAACTTACCAACCTTTTCTTTTGTAAAAAAGCAAAAAAGTTGTGATTTTTATCGTCTCATGGTGTAATCAATCAATTATATATAAGCATGTATGACTAGTAAATTTTACCAAATTTTTAACTATTAATAATTTTCATTTTTAATAACTATCACATAGGATTAGTGAAATTCATTTATACACTTATTTATTTACTAATTGGTGCATATGTGCGTTGCACGTGGATTATTTCAAATTATTATAATTTTTATTTACCACTTTTATAATAAAATATTGCTTTGTCAAATAATTGTTCAATGACTACACTGAAATTTTTAAAAATATAATGCTCATGTGTGTGTTGCGTATAAAATTTTTAAAATTAGTGTAATAATTTGTAGTTTTTTTAAACATCTTACAAAAATCAAAAACCTATATTTTATTGTGGATCTGTAAATCGATGACTCAGTTGCATAGTGGAGGTCAGACAAAATACAAGAAATTAATTATCATAATGCAAATTAAAGCAATCAAGGATAACAATTCATATGTATGTCAAATAAATAATGATGTATAGATCTAAAATTCTTGGAAAGTTTGGATGGGCCTAAACCAATAGTTCAACCTGCAAATTGACTGATGAAGAGTGAAATCCCCTTCTTCAGATTAAAAAGCAGCACACATACGTAACTTTAAGGAAACTGTTTAAGTCTCCTTTTTCAAATTATGTATCCCAAACTACACTGGTGAAAGTTAACCAAAGCTAATTAAAATGTTCAACAAACATCTCCACTAAAATGTTTGGTTGTAATTCATATTTATTATAATTATTATAACACCATTTTTTATTGTTATTACTCTAAACAAACAATTTATTAGATTTTTTAATAGTAACCAAATTCTAATTATTCTTCCAGATGTTAATACACATGGTGTGTTTATGTTTGATTTCTCCATGAAAATTCAATTTTGTTGGTATCATAAAATCTGAGATGAATTTACAAAAAAAATAAAAAATTATAATAAATATCAGTGGAAAAACAATATCACAAAAAGTAGAGATGTAGAGAGAATTGAATGCGTGGAGTAATGCATGCTGAGAGCAACAGAGAAAGATAGGGAGAAAGAGGAGAACATCAAGGGTTTCGAAAAGATAAATAACAGAGAAAGAGAAGTTTATTTGGAATGAGGGAAGATGAAACGACAAGGAAAAGAGAAGATTGGGAGGCATAGGTTTTTTTTTGAACATAAGTAGGCTTAGATTTATTTTAGCTTTAATGTTGAGGGATAAGAATGAGATAGTTGTGATTTTAGAGGATAAAAGTAAAAAAAAAAAAAATTCTAAATATGCTCAATTTTTAAAGTAGTATAGATTATTGATTGGTGTCATACAATAACAACGTGGTATAACTTTTACATTTAATATTTATTCCTAATTATGGCTTCCACGCTAAGAGGTTAAACTATAATACTAAAAAATAAAATATAATGTTATTTGTACTTAGATATAAGACTTAATTTGTTGACTTGACGATGTATCAGGTGATATGATCCCAATAAAATAGTTTAATAGTTATAATTAAAAGTAATATTATCAGATTAGATAATTACTACATCAAGTTTGTAAATTAGCTTAGGTTTTTAAATACAAATAATATTACTTACTAAAAATTAATTTTCAATCTTTTTCCAACCAATGATTTTTTTTTTTTATTCTAGTCTATTATTTCACTTCTAACTTGAATATTTTCATGATTAATAACCATAAATAAATTAACAAATATATATGATAACAAATAATTTTTTAATATGGTAAAGTTAAATAACTATGAATTTTTAGACACATTATGGATATTTTATAAATAAATCAAGATAATTTTTTGACATGTCGAACTCATTTTTTAAGTTGTAAAGATTGTAAAAATTAAGTTGCATAACTGAAGGAGTGATCAATGACTAATAGAGAAAGACTATAGTATCTTTTATACAGTTAATCTCTCATTTGTTGTGAAAGATTGTTATTAGTCTCTTTTTTTTTTAATAAATTATATTTACGGTGGTTTGATCCTTTTTTATATTTGATAAATCTTTAAGTATATAATGTATTGAATTTAAATGTATTATTTTTTTAAATTGATTTAGAGAAAAAAAAATTAAAATTTTGAAATAATGTGTCCACCCACCCTAAACAAAGTTTATAGTTTCACTCGTGGTGGGATGCTAATATATTTGTTTCAAGCATGCAGTCATGAGTGTGACTGAAACAGTTTTATGCACGACACATAATTGTTGACACAAAATAGTGATCTTTCTTGTTTTGTTTTCCTTCTCTTTTCCCTTCAAGAGAAATAATATATATGCATTGAAAGGAATTTTACCTTAAAAAAGTGTAATTTTTTTGTAGTTCAATTACAATATCTT